GGGGTGGGTGGTGACGGTTTCCTCCCTCTGCTGCTCCGGGTTCGCGTGGGGGGCGGTTACAAAGTCGGAGCGAGCGGGCACAGAGGGGGCTCCTGGGGGAGCTGCTCACAGCTCCAGTGCCCGCAGGCTGCCCAAGGCCGCTTCCACCTGCAGGGCCTGAGTCCCAAACAGATGCACGCCAAACAGCCTGGTTTAAATGCCTACTGTTTTGGGATATTAAGGGATATCCGTTTTGTGACCGAAGGATGGATAGCAGCAGAAACAGTTATTTCACCTCTACAGAATATATATGAAGTTTTTTTTGTTTGGTGTTTCCTTTCTTAGCAGTTCTTGTGGTAAGGATTTCTAATTCCAGCTGTCTCTTGCCCCACTTCATCACTATCGGCCTGCTGCCTTCACTTTGGCAGCTCCCATCACTCTTCTCCACGTGATCGTAATGCCACTGTTTGGTTCTTTTCACTATTTTTGCCTTCCGTCGTCTGATAAATGCCAGAGCACTCCTCAATGTCTCTTATTCTTTCCCATGAGGCTGTTCCCCAGAATGTTTCGCACAAAAGCTGGAGGAAATAACAGAGAAGAGAGGAGACAGAGAATTTCTGTCTCCTGTAACATGTTACAGCTGTAAGTCAAGGTGGAGAAATAGATTTTATATGGGTAATACAGATAAAGTAACTTCTGTGAGAAGTAAGGATGGCTGCTGTGGACCTGCTTAATAGGTTGTGGACTTGTTCATCCCATGGACTGTTACTGCGTCCCTCCCTTTAGGAAGGGAAATGCTTAGGAAATTGAGTTGAAATTTTAAATACAGTTACGTAAAAAGCTCAAAGTTCACCTCTCTTGGTGGTATCAGCTGAGGACTGGATAGTCCCAGCTGCTAAGAAATCAATGCTTAAGTGATAATATTGGCCAACTTCAACTGTATTTGTCATTGAAGGGAAAATCTTAAAGATGAGCACCTCTGAGTTTGCCATGTAGGTGCCTGGATGAAAGGGAGACTGAAGTTAACGCTGTTATGACTCTGGCTGTATGTTCTTGTTCCAGCCATGTGGCAGGCAGGATCAGGAGGCTGTTTGGGGTTTTTCCTCTGCAGCTGGAGCAGGTCTGATCCAGTTCACCATGTGCTGCACAAATGCTTGTGGCCACATTGTGTGCAGATGTGGCTGAGCAGCTGAGGAGTTGGCTGCTCGGGTCTGTGCCTCCACTGAGGAAACGGACACGCAGCCAGAGCCCCAGAAGAAGAAGGTTACTGGGGCAGGGGCTCAACAGTTGACAGTTGTTTGGATTTTGGGATGGTCAGCTCTATGGCATTTTGCCTGGTGGGCAAGGACACATGTAAGGAACATGAAAGACTTGAGGGGGTGGTGGCTGGAGGATGGAGGAGAAGAAGGGGCATGAGTGGACTTGATGGGGTGGGATGATAAACAAAGGGACCATTATGGATTTGGATAAGAGCAGGAATTATGTTCAGGAGTGAGGGGCACAGAGCCCAGATCTGTATAGAATCGAGTGTCATTACTTTCAACTGAGTGAGAACTCCTAATACTATGTTATTTCCTTGGCAACTAGTCTAAAAGCATTGGAGGATGGTGGCTATAACATCCTTGGGGTCATCACGAGCCTGGCGAGGTGGGCGCTGTGGCTCCAGCAGCCTTCCCAGAACAAGCTCCCTCCTCTGCTTGGGCTCTTGTGCTGCCCCTTGCACTGTGCTGGGGCAACCGTGTGCATGACTGCCCGCTGAACCGGGAGAGTGATCTGGTGGGAAATGGGCATAGGGATGGGGAAAAGAGAGAGAGGTTGCAAAACTGGAGCTGGATGGAGGCCACACAGGGATTTCCCTCGTGGAACCCGTTCTCTCTGCATCTGCTGAGTCCAGAGGAGCTGGAAGCAGAACTGAGAATTGGGTCTGGAGGTCCTTGTTACTGAATTGTCATATTCTTTAAAACAGTTCGTTATTGTTAAAAGCTGCTCAGGCTTGACTCTGAGCAAAAATTACTGAATCGGCTAAGGAATTACGTGACATATCTTGCTAATATTTTAAAAAATTAAAATCCAGGGCATTGACGAGAATGGGAGCTGAGAGGAGGAGAAAGAAAAGGAATATATCATTGTTACTGTGTCTGTGTAACGCTTGCCCTCTGAAGCCTCAAGTTACTGTTTAAATGAGTGAGTCTGCTCGCCATTTCAAAGCAAAAGCTTGCACTTTGCCAGTCTTCTACTTTGTAGATAGCTTTATAAATACAAAACTATGTGATGTTTTATACAGGATCAAGCAAAGAAGTGTTGTTTATGGGAGCTCTTCACCATTTCTTATAGTATTTCTATTCAGGCTGTAACGATACAGCTTTACGAACTTACAGTTCAATAGTTAAGGGAAAAATAGGTGATACATGTCAGTAGGCTGTGTTGTGACTAAATCCAAAGTCAGCTTCTGTACTGGGTAAGGAGTATTGGACAGAATTTGTTTCTACCTTTCCCTTTCAAAACTGTGAAATTGATTTGCTGGGATTGATTTGCTTTTACTTCTGAAGAACGTTTTTAATTCCATCATGTAAGATTCTGTATTCTTACTGTACTTTACCAATATTTTCCAAGCATTTTCCAGCTTCCTTTAAGATCAGTACTCTTGCCACTCTGAGGGCAGCGGGACTTTCCTGGGGCTCTCCTTCGCTCTCAGTTCACTTGATGTGGAATTTTAAAGACATGTGAACTACTCGAAAGCATGTATGTAATTAGTAAGGAAAGAAAGGATAAAATCTAAGGCTTCTACAACTTTCATTCTGCGGTAACTAAGTTTTAAACTCTCTTGTCAGGAAGACTGAGACAGGAAAAGGACGTTGGTCACTTGTAGGAAACCTTAACCTTTCAAGGGTCTGGGATGCTCCCTGCAGAGGGATGTTGTCAGAGGGGACACTGTGTTTGTGTGTGTGCAGAGCTGAGAAGGTGATGTGTACCAGGATCAGAAAACTAAGCTCAGCTCCTGACCTTTGAGGCTTCTGAAGGGAATAGCTTTAGATATTGCTATGGTTCATGTTTCTAATGGAGTCAAGTGCATTTTCACTAAATGCTTGAACATGTTTTCACAACAATGCTTGAACAGCACCTAAAATGCCTGCTTTGATTCCTGCTATCAGGTGGATGCCAGTGTAAGACTGCTGGGGTTTTGTGTTGGGTTTTTTTGTTAGTTCATTTTTTTGTTTGTTTTTCTCCTTTTTAATTCTGTGGTACAAATACTGTTTAAGAAATCAAGTTCTGGCTCAGTGTAAGTTGTCACTGTATTTGCTCCTCTCTGTTGGGAGCTGTTATAAGAGGCAGCAGTTTGAATTCTGCCTTTCCAAATATTTAAATGCCTGTCAACCTCACCAGAGGCATCGAGGTTTTTTCCCTCTTTTTCAAGAGTGATTTACACTCGGTGATTTTGTTGTCAGACTGAGCTGCATCTGTACATTAGAAAAGTCATGACCTTTCAAAGTTTTCTTGTAGCATGAGCATTGAAATTCTGAATTCTTGGGTTTTTTTTATTTGAAGACACAAAGTAAGGAAAATTAAATTCTCAAGTGATTGCATCATTCCCAGAAATGAGTTTTGACCTCTGAAAGCAGCGTGCAGATGATCAACTTTTTTATTTATGAGGCTTTTTAGTGCAACTTTCTCAGTTTGTCTTGTATACTTAATAAATTTCTGTGAAACTGAAGTGAAAAAGTGTTATTCTATGGAGTAACTAGATGAAGTTGTACCGAGTTAGCCTTGAGGCTGAAATACTTCTCAGTACATGGTAAAATGAGATTCTACCTGTCAATATGAAAATGTGCATCACTTTGAGAGGAGGGTTACAAATGGAGAGAGCCCTCTAGGTGAAGTATCCTGAAACAAACACCACTATTTCTTTTGGTGCGAGAATCTCCATCATTAGACTAAAAAATACTTTCTTTGTCATCATCAAAGCAGAGTTATGCTCTGAACAATGGGAAACTTCACAAATGAACAGCTTTGTGGTGCGCTTGAGTTGAAAGCCTCCTTTTGTTTTTCAAAACAGAAAGATGATGACATTGAGGAGGGGGATCTTCCCGAGCACAAGAGGCCTCCAGCACCAATAGATTTCTCAAAGATTGATCCAGGCAAGCCTGAAAGTATCCTGAAGCTGACGAAAAAGGGGAAGACTTTGATGATGTTTGTCACAGTGTCAGGAGATCCCACAGAAAAGGAGACTGAAGAAATCACCAGCTTGTGGCAGGGCAGCCTCTTCAATGCAAACTATGACGTGCAGAGGTGAGCTGCTGTACCCCAGGATCAAGTCCTTGCTTTTGCAGATCCCTCGATTCTTTCTCTCTGAAAATCTTCTCAACTGCTCCTCCTGTGCCCTTCCCCACCCCGTCTGTCACTGTTGCTTTGTTTCTGTATCAGTTTATATAAGAACAATTTGTTTTTAAGTTGTGCTACAAAAATGCTGGTATAGTGCCCAAATCTTTTTAACACTAATGCATGAGGTACGTATAGCCCAGTTTCTCTTTATCTCATTACATTTCAGCTATTTATCGATTTTAGCTGCAGTAGTTTGCCTTTTTGTGCTTGATGGAAACCATGACACTTGGGAGACTTGTCACCACAAAAGGCTTTTTGTTCCCCTGGCTAAAAATGTGACCTTTCTCTGGGAGAGGGAGGATCATTTTGAAACAGAGGAACGTTATGCCCTCGAATTGAGGCTGAGAAGGGCTGCAGTAAGTGTACAAAGCAAATTTAATGCCCATTAGTGGGTTTTACATAATGCCAAATTAGTTTTTAAGATTTATTTGTATCCTTGCTCTTCCTTGGTGTTTTATAAACTTAATACATTTTATTAAGTGTGCTTTAAAATTATTCTCTTGTCCCCATCCCCAGGCAACAAGAAGACCAACTTCCGGCTCTTAAATGTGTGCCTCAGTTGTGGAGGTGCTCTGAATTAAGCAAAATGTTGTGCTTGAAAGGCATAGGCTAACTGGAAAAATTTACATCTTTCCTTTAGGTTTATTGTTGGCTCGAATCGTGCCATCTTTATGCTGCGTGATGGGGGCTATGCCTGGGAGATCAAAGACTTCCTGATAAATCAAGAGAGGTGTGCGGATGTTACTCTGGAAGGTCAGGTTTATCCTGGCAAAGGAGCAGAAGAAAGTGAGAAAGCGAAAAACAAAACCAAACCTGAAAAAGCAAAGAAGAAAAAAGACGCAGACAAGAAATCTGATGGTGTCAAAGAGGACAACCGAGCAACCAAGCAGAGAGAGGATCTATGACGGACACGTTCACCAGACTGAATACTGCTCTGCTGCTCCTTGAGGGGAAACTAAATTTTCATACAATTCCTGGCTTTATTGGAGCAAGGAAGGTAGCAGAGATTACTGAGGTTAAAAGACTTCTAACTTGAAATACATCAGTTTACTTATTAATGTTGGCCGTTTGTTTAGTTACAAGGAAGGTAATGTTTAATACCAGCAGTTGACTAGTTTGTCATTTTTATGCTTTTGTTGTTTAACATGAATCTGTATGTCTAACACTGCAAACCTAATTTAAGTGGAAAAGAAAAACTATGGTCTCAGAAAACACCCATGTTCATCAGTAGCAGCTACACCCATCTTGGGAGTGCGAGTTGGCCGTTGATCTGTAGCTGCTGGTAGAGAGCAGAGTACAGTGCTAAAAGATCATCTTGGAAGCCAGTTTGCTAGACTCAGGTGGCAAAACTGCCTAAGTTTGCAGAGTAGTGTTACAGTGGCCAAAGATGCCTGAAATCAGGAGGTTTAGGGCATGTCTGGTTAGACTGCCTGTTTAAACAAAACCGCTCCTGTCTGTCCCCAGAAATCCATAGAGGTGGGGAAGAAGTGAGACATATTTGGCTGATGCACCCCAGAGCAGTGCAGGGGGAGATTCTGTGCCCAGAGAAAGGAGGGTGGGGTGTAAATGGGATTACAGCACCCGCATGAGCAGTGTTGGAGTGAAAGGAAAAATCATGGATTTTGGGTTGCTCCTGCTGCCAAAGAACTGTGCCTGTGGATGCAAATGTTGTGCATGTCCCAGTGTCCAGACAGTGAGCTAGAAGAAATAGCTTTAATTCTGGAACTGGTTTCCTGGTTTAAGGGTTTGTTTAATCTTTGAAAAAGCGCTAGTTACAGTACAGAGTCAGACTTTGAGGTAGACTTACCACTTGCTGATGTTCAATAGCCAGATTATGTATTTTTTGGATACAGATTCCTTACTGATGTAGCTGATTGTAAATGAACGTTTGATTTCAATACTATGAAGTTTGATGTATGGGAGCAAATTTGATTTCTCCTCAGAAGAATTTGTGTAAGTAATAAGTAATTAAAACCTCTGGGAAGGTTTCATTACTCTTCAGACTGTATTCAGTCAGATGCATCACTTAGAATTGTTTCCCTTCTGCCTTACTACGTGTTAGGGACTAAATGCACCAAGTATGGTATGGTCCACATCATTTTCCAGAGGATGAGCACAGTATTAACTGGCTTCATTCAATCATACTAAGATGTTACTTTGACTCTTTATTTAAGGTGCTAAAATCCAAGTGTTTTGGATAAAAGGTCCTAATTGAACCATAATGGTTGATCTTGTGGAATACTTTAGTACCAAAAGTGGGAAACTGTGACTTACTGAGTGCTTGTTCTAAAATAAAAGATGTCACTAAACTTACTGTTTCACTGAGTAGTAAAACCTTTTAAATAATTACACATTTAGTTACGTATTTGGGAGACAAATTAACTCGTCTTTGGTTTCTGTACATAAGAACTGAATGATGTTGATGAAGGTTCCAGATGATTGGTTTTTAAATTTTATTTACATCTGTATGAATTTAGGATTAGAGAAACCTTTCCACCACACATCGTTAAGCAGGACTGTGCCTGCTCGTCCAAGTGGAAAAATGAAAATTGTGATTCTTCAGTTACATCATTTTTTATATTCTACTGCTCATCCAGATGTGTAGCAGAGTGTGAGGGGGCATCCACAACTTCCCTGGGCAACCCATGGCAGTGCCTCACCACCCTCAAACATAAACTTGTTTTCTTTTCTGACTAAAATTGCGTTCTTCCTGAGCTAAAAAAATCAGGCAATGCAAACCAGTATGCAAGAATACTAAAGCAAATTACCCAAGGAGGAGAAACAGTTACTACACTGCAGCTATAGCCCAGCTTTTGAGAATAGGCACTGGTTTAAGTCACTCATAAATCTACATTTACAGTAGGTTGGGTCTTTTCCCTTTAGAGTTATAAGGAGGGGGGCAGCCTTGTTGAAATTCAGCTGGCCAGTTGACCTATGCCAAATGCAGGCCTGCTTTGTGCCACGTAGCTTATTCAAATCTTAAAGTAGTTTTTAGTTTGGTTTGGTTTGGGTTTTTGTAGGCTTTTGATAAGAGTAGTGAGTTGAGGGTAAGTTTTTTCATAAACAAAATACTGCCTTTGAGTAGCTTTTTTGTCTTCCATTTTTCTTCTCCCTTTTTCATGTGTTACACTCAACAAATAACTCAGCACGCTGGTGGGGATAATGTGGCAGTGTGGCAGAAACGTCCTCAGCAGCCGGTCCTTCTGTGGTACTGCAGTTAACTCCAAAGCAATTTACCTTCTCTTTTAAAGCTGGTAAGTCTTTGAGATGCTAGCACTTGTGCAGTGCTGCATTAGCAGATCTTACTTTGCAATTATTTAAGAGGCCTGAGCACAGTACACAATGTCACTTTCATATCTATATAGCATCTTCAAGAAGTTACTTAGGTCATTAATGTTCTGTAAATACCCCAGCAGATGTTAGATTTTGCGTCTGAGTCTCATCAGACTTCCAGTAACAGGTGTTTGGCTCTACATCCAGGCAATTCAGATACAGCCTTTAAAACTAATTTCAAAAAGTAGGGTGCTGATTATAGCTCTCATTATTTCCTTATTTTTTCAGTGCTATACAGAGGTACGTGGGAAATCATCTGCTTTCATGACAGCCAAATGTCTGCTGCCTTTCTCCACTCGGCTCAGTCATTTCTCTGTTCTAGTGCCATAACCAAGTTTCCTAAGTTACTGTTATATTTTTAGCCCAGCTGTCAGAAAAATCAGTTTGTCCACACAAGATGTGGTTGCACTTTGTGAAAATTTCCAATGGACAATCAACTTTTTATGTAATAAAATACTGGAACAAATATCTTGGTGGTTTGGTTTGTTTGTTTGTTTTTTTAAGATAATCCTCCTGCATACTATGTGCCCTATTTCATTTACTGGGGAAAAAAAAAGTTCAATTTAAATACTTATCTAGAAGAGTACGAGTGTGTCCCCTTTTCTTGAGGGCTTAACTTTATCAACCAAGCAGGAGGTTTGAGATTTAAATTGCTGGGACCAGAAGACATGAGAAGTACCATGTGCAGTAAGTGAATGAATGCTGGTGATTGAATTTATAACAAAGCATCCTCACCAGCTACCAAATCTTGTTAACTGGGGAACGTGAGCAGTGTTTGTATTCGTTTTAAAAAGATGAGAATTGCAGGTGCCGTCATTATATTGCTAAGATTTACAGGCGATGGTGCAATAAAGTTTCCTATGTTCGCATGCCTATTGCCAGTATCTGCTGCAGTCTTCCTCTTCGTATGCATTTTTCGCTAGCAGGGAAGGTCATGGTTCCTATTTCTTTTGCAGCTTTTCTTAGCTTGCCTTAGCTTAGTTTGTGCACTTATTACGAGGTGAAGTAGCCATTTTTAAAATTCTATCTTTAAGTCTGTTATGACAAACTTACAAACTACAACAGGATTTCTGCTCTTCACTTGGGTGGTCAAAGTGTTTCTCTTCTCTGAACAGTTGCGTCAGCCTTGACTTCAAAAAGATGCTACATTCCTCTCACTGTTTCTGAACTCTTTCAATTTTCTCATGAAAAGGAAATTGTAGATTAAAATACCGTTTTGTTACGATATGGAACAGCCTCCTTTTGTCTGATATTTGGCCAGTGTTCTCATAAGGTTTATAATGAGGCATGGAAATCATTTCCAGTTTTATCTATGCCTTATTTCCTTTTCTATTCAAGGAGTAACAGTGTTTGCCTTTTCCAGAGGTTCTTTTTTAAAATTGTTTATAGACACTCAGTCTGTGAGGGGTTTGGACACACCATCTATCTCCAGCAGAAGAGGTCTGTGTGCGGTGTTGTTTCTGATCAATATTTAAAAGGCTGATGTAATGCATTAAATCAAGCATTATATAGCAAGCCAGCCTTTATCCAAAGACAGCTGGTAAATGATTTATTTCTTTCCTGTGTGAGGCTATGTAATAGAACAATATTTTCACTGTTGATACTGGTGTCAGCTGGGCTATCACGCTATTATATCTATGGCTTTTGGTAATATGAGCAAAAGTTCTGTTAACCATCATATAAATTAACTGTAATAATTGCAATTAAAAATTCTCCAAAATTAGGGATATATATATTTTATTTTTTAATTATTAAAGGCCATGGATACATGTTGCTGTAGCACATGGTCTTGCTGTGCAGCCTCTGTGAAGAAGAGGAGGGTCCTCATGCCAGAGCTTCACCCGCTGAACCCTCACACCTCTCACTGCGTGGTAGCAGAGTCTTCTCATCCCATGAAGTGCTGTAATCCATATATATATGTGTGTATATATATATATATGTATGTGTGTGTGTGTGCTACCGATACCCTGGCTCCGAAACAGCAGCACAGAGGTGACCTGTGCTGGAGTACCTAATGCTCAGGTGGCTGAGTTCCTAATGCTCAGGTGGCTGAGTTCCTAATGCTCAGGTGGCTCAGTGCCTGCAGAGGCTGCAGAAACGATCCCATTGGCAACATCCTTGGCCTGAACGTGAAATAATATGGGAAAGATTGTGTTACTTTTGAGACTTCTCAGAAATAGATTTTTTTTTCTTTCTTATGCCAGAATTATTGTGCCTCTGCTCTGTTGCAGTTGGACAGCAAAAAGACCCTAATTTTTTGCAGGATAGGGACTAAAATGCTCTGATCTATGAGGCCTATAACAGATTTTTTTTAATTTTTAATTTAAGATGTGGGCCCATCTTTACAGCCTGTAACATCCACTGTTTTTACAGATAATTTTCAATAGTGTTGCAAATAGGCTGCACATCTGTGCTGGTGGCAAGCCCGCTAGTTCTGTAGAAACCACTGACCAGAGCACTGAGCACACATGAAATCATTAATGTTTAAATTCAGGTGTGCTCAGTGATGGCAGTGTTACATTTCGGCAGGCCTCCTGTGCTTTGGAAAGAGGTGACCATTTGCTTGCAAGGTGCAAGGCGTTAGCAATGAGAAGAGGTTGTTAACTGAACAGCACCATGAGGTAACCTGGATCTTGCTGTAACTTACGTAAAGTCTTCTTTATAATGAGGATGGCCGAGTTAAACATGAATAATTGTATTGCAAGGTTGTACTGGAAAAACATATTGTGTTTGAGGACTTGCTGAATC